TCCCGGACCCAACGGTCTAACTCATATTTTCGGATCACCTTACTGAGGACTCATAAAGTAAGAAATCCAGTAAAGTGAGAGAAAACACAAAAGCCATATGTTTTATTTTCACTGTGTTTAATTTAAAACAAAAGAAGGACCAAAAAGAGAAACCTTTTTTTTAACTTTCATTTTATTGTAAACAAAGGAGGGGTATTAAAAAAAACTTTATTTATCTTTAACATAAACAAAAGAGGGGGATTAAAAAACTTTTTCATCTATAATAAAAGAGGAGGATAAAAAAAACTTTTTTTTTCATCTTTAACAGAATTAAGATAATTATTAATAGAAATTCAAAGTTTATAAAACTGAATATATGACACTATTGAGAAAAACCATAATGAATTACTAAAAGTATGTATATTCTAAGGATGTCGAATTAATTTATTTATGGAGGGCCTGTCATATTTGTCAAATTATTATTTAAAATTATTTATTTTTTGAAAATAATTTTTTTAAATTAATTATATTGATAAATAGTCGATCACGTGTAGAACTTGTGATTTCTTTGTCCCATAAATGTATAAAAGGGACGAGATTTTATAATTATAATAACTTTTTGTTTCTTTGTGAATAAATATTTAGACAATAAAATTTGTAGTTGAAAATTTTTTACTTTTAGTTTTAGAGCTGAGTGGGTAAATTGTATGAGTTATAAAACGTTTCCCTAACTTTCATATAAAAACCTTTCATATAAAAAATTGCGACTGAGAATAATTGCGACTTTTTTTATGATTGGTTGTGATAATTGCGACTTTATACCCATTGGTTATAAAAAATTAAACGTATTTATAATATATATTTGAAAAATCGTGATTTTTGGAACGCCTCTATGGCCTAGTAGGCAAGAGCTTGGCTTACTTATCTCATGGTCCCGGGTTCGAATCCCGCAAATGGTCACGTTTTTTTTCTTATTCTAATTTGGTGGTTCCATCCTTGGGGGGATAATATATAGGAGGCCGGACTCGACCACGTGATTCCATATTAATATATTAAATAATAAGAGTTTTATTACATTTTAATAAATTTTGGTCGGTATTTAGCAAATTAGGTTGGTATTTAGAATATTTCCATACATTCACTCATTAATTATATAAAGTCGCAATTATTTATATGAAAGGTTTTTATATGAAAGTTATACCAACCGTTATAAAATAGCGTGGTACCATTAGTAGTTTTATAGTGCTTAATTTTTAAAATTATTAATTGAAAGCATATTCAAAGAAATGCATATGAAAATTGTAAAAAATATTATCAATATACAATTATATGAAATCAGGGTGATGAATCTAGAACATTGTTAAATAAACAATCCTTCGTTATTTATGTTAAATGGGTAGGGTATAGGTATTCTTTTGACAAGCCCATTTTTACATTTCTAGACCTAATTAAACTGGAATCAAAAAATGAAGTGGGGAATTTCATACTCTACTGGATCTTCTTAAATTCTATGGACTTTCTTAGTAAAATTCTCAAAAATATGGATTTCTTCATGACTGGAAAGAAATCTAAGTATTTGCTGTGCAGTGAATATAATATGGATTTTTAGTGTATTTTTGTTATATAAAATATTCATCTTTTTTGGTTTGTTATTTTTTAAAAAAAATATATTTAATCAATTCTGTTTTTGTTTTCGAAAATAGAAATAAAAAATTTTAGTTTTTAAAGAAATTTAATATTGCGTAATAAAGGTATAAGAAATAAATTAAGAAAAAACCGATTTAAAAAAAAGGATGAACTTCTTAACCAAAGTTATAAAAAATAAAAACTCTGAACCGATTTTATTAAAACTACCGATCCAACATCTACCCTCTAGTAGCGTCAAATTTGTCAGTATTATGATAAACATAAGTTGAATTATGAGAAACTGGGACTCTTCCAAGTTTGGGGAAATCTGCTCCATTTAATAATTGTCTGTCAAGTCACAAGCTGCATTGCACACTTTAACCAACAATGAAACGTGCGATTAATATTGTTTAATATTGAAAAAGATTTTCTATGGTGAATTGTAATTTTTGCCATCTTTTTTTTTTATCTATTCCGATTTATGCATTCGATTCTAATAATATAAATTAATTCTTAATGAATGTTATGAAATGCATTCTAAGAAATTATAAAGTTTTTTTACAAATCTATACCCATTTAGTGGAGAGTTTATTTTTATGAAATAATTTTAAATTGAAAATTGTATTCATTATTTGATATTGACTTTTGATCTTAATTAAATTAGGAAATGACTTTAAAAATCATTCTTTGGATAGTGGTACCGTGAATTAAGGCTTGATTTTTTTAGGATGATTATAACACAATGCCAACCACTAAATTATCACGGCTACAAAATTATCACTGTTTATGATGCAGTATACTACACATTACGTTCTAAATGGTAGAGATATCGCTATATTAGTTAAATATATTATTGGGAATAGATTACATTTACCAAGCCAGGATATGTGTTAAATTGTATAAAGACCTTATTGGGAATAAATTAAATTTAGCTGATAAATTTTTCTGGGATATAATGTTTATTTTTTCCAGACGTTAATAAGTTGAAGGAAAATTGTATTGATATCTATAGGTATAAATTACTATAGTAAATTCTAAATAAAAAACCAGATAATAGTAAAATAAACTAACAAAATATTTCGATTTGGAATAACCATATAATCAAATATATTTTTCTGGAATAATATAAATTAGTAGAGAAAATTATTCCATATTTACATTATTAGAAAGAATAGGCTTTCAAGTGTCAATATATTATTTGGGATTACTAATTATATGGTATTACCCAGTGAAAAAATAAATTCAATAAAAAACTATACATGGTTTACTATTATTATCGTATCGAAAGAACAATATATAATATGATATTTTTATAATTTATATTAATTTATATATCTGTTCTTAGGGATGATATATAAAGAGGGATAAAAAGTAATTACTTGAATATAAATTAACTGGTAAATATAATAAATATACTTGAATGAAAATGTGAATACTTGTATCAAAATATGGATTGTAATATTTTTTTTGGTTTTGCTATTGACATTCACTCTTTATTTAATTTGAATTTTTGAATATTTAAGCTATTAATTTGAGAAAATAAATATGTATGATTAATAAAGAAGAAAAAAAGAAATATAATTTACTAGAATAAAAATTGACTAGTATATATAATATACTTGTGGATACATGAATCAAAATATGGATTAGAATATATTTTTTTGCCATTCGTAATGTTCACTCATTTATCCAATTTTCTTATTTTTAACGTGTTATTTTTGTTTTTATAAAAAAGTGTATTTATTTATTTACAAAAAAAATAAATTCAAATAAATAATTAAATAGGTACCGATGAGGGTGACATAGCTTTACGATGACATGATTTAGCGAGGACATTGGAAAATTTTAATATATAGATTTTATTAAAATCTGATATCTCATTGTTATGAAATCTTAGGGAGATATTATTTTTTTTTATCGATTTTTTGGATTGTTATTATTTTTATTTTCTTTTATCGATTTTTTGAATTGTGACTAATTTTTTTGACCAATTCTTGGAATTTGTATTTTTATTTTTTTTGTTTTTTTTCTTAAAAAAAGTTGTATGAAAAATAATAAAATTGAAAAAAGAAAATCCATTCAGCATTGAAATATAACATTATTTAAGATTACGTAAATCTAGACTTAGAAATTCAGCGACTTAGAAATTCAACATAAGGAACCTAACACTGGCGACATTTAACGTATTCAACCAGAGTTGTACATTTGCTCAAAATAAAAAGATCTTCAAAGATCTAGTAAAATTTGAAGATCTTTTATTTTTTAAAAATTTTGTGTAACGATCTTCAAAGATCTAGATCTTTGAAGATCGCTGCGATCAACGATCTTCAAAGATATTCATGATATTTATTTTTTTACCCCTTTATTAAAAGTCCAGATCTTTTTCAATTTTATTAAAATAATATTTCTTTTATGTTTTATACCTTTCCTCCTACCTTGATGAAAATTGAAAAACATCTGGGCTTTTAATAAAGGGGTAAAAAAATAAATATCATGAAGATCTTTGAAGATCGTTACACAAAATTTAAAAAAAATTAAAGATCTTCAAATTTTACGATCTTCAAAGATCTTGCTCAAATTTTTGAGCTATATCTCGCTCAAAAATCTTCAAAGAAGATCTTTTAAAACTCATGATTTGTGATTCATGCTGATTTCTCGCCATTTGTGAATCCCAGACGCTACTCGGAAGGCCAAGATAGTAGTTACCCCTTATAAATATTGAGAAATAAAACCTCTTTCTTCTTTATTTTCTATGTGGCTATAAAAAAATACAAAAAAGATTTTGAACACTTTTGAAAGTTTTAAATTTTTAGCCGAGAACTCCTTTTCTAAATTGAAAGGAGGCTAAAAATCAAAAATATATTAGCGAGAGGCTTAGCTGCCATGCTACCTTTCGTAATACAATCTGGTTTTACCAATAAAACGAAGTTTATATAAAAAAATTGTGTTTTTAGAAAAATATTAGCTAGAAAAGTCTCCTAAGAACCGAAGTCGAATCAGTTTTTTGGTAACTTTTTTCAACCCAAAACCTGGTTCCAGCTTAGACAGCAATATAAGACAACTGATTAACAATACTTAAAATAATAAAAAAAACAACTTAAACCATAAAGCCAAAGCGGTATTTCAATATTTTTAATTTTGTATGCATAGATATGGGTTGTTAAACGTCTCGATTTTTAAAATCGACTAAACCCAATATTTTGGCCAAAAAATGTTATGCAGACCTCAGGATTTCGTTAAAAGGTGTCTATGAGCAAAAACTCCAGGCTGGTTTTATATTATTGGCTAAAATATTGGGTTAGCCGTTTAAAAACTAATCGTTTAACACTACACGGATAATTTAAGGATGATACACGGCTCACATCACAATTTAAAATATCAATTTTACTGATATTCCATCAAATACTTTTGTCCTTTATTCGGTTATACGCAGTATATTTATCAGGGGAAATCAAAATATTTTATTAAACTCTATAGTATATTAATTATGGCCGGCGACCCATCTCAAATACACCAGGATATAGCACAAGAATTTTTACGTTATTTTTATTCTAAAATACAAACAACCAGAGAGGAACTGATTAACCTATATGTAAATTTTAAAAATAGTGTCCAATTTTATTTTTAATTTTAGACTGATAATGCTATGTTGTCATATGAAGGCCAAGCTTTTACTGGAAAACAGTCTATACTAGATAAGCTCAAAGTATGAATGAATATATAAGATATATTTTATTAACTTAAATTTGTAGTCTTTACCAAAATACAGTTTAAATGTATCTTCTTGTGATTGTCAATTCATAGAATCAGATGCTACCAGGTTGCTCATTTTAGTGACGGGAACTATTACAGTATATTAAACAAAAACTATTGATTTGAAATTTTTATTTCTATTATGTAAAAAACTGTTTAATACCCCATTTTGGCTCACTGCAATTTGCTGTGAGTTTTCTTACCATATTTAGGAATTAACATTATCAAATTTTCCCAGGATATATTGTTTAAATCATTAACTAATTTGCTTGAATTATTATTTAATTAGTAGTCTAGAATAGTGTATAATTAAATTTAAAATTACATAAAAATTAGTACTCTTCCACCCAACACATGACAAACTTAAGCTAATATAATATAAAACATACTACACTTATTTTAAGAGCATAAATTAATTACATATATTTGAGGTAATTATTATTTTAAATTATACATTAATTGGTCTATTAATAATTTTACACACATATCAAAACTAATTTATTTAAATATTAATTTTGTGCATTATGTTAGCCACAAAATTAACCTCTTATATGTTTAACCATTTTATTCTTATAATAAGTATTTATGACTGAAGATATAAATTTTTATAAAAATGTTGATATAGAACTAGAAGATATTCCATTTCAATGAGTTTTTTTATTAAGATATTATGTTACACTAACAATGTCCACATCCTATACATGTCATTTGATAATTTATATTGAAAAGTGAACTTTGAGGTAATCCCCTTAAGAGGCATTTTACCAACTCTTTTATCTGCATCTATTAAAATAATATTTGCAATATATGCTTTAGATGAAGTCCACAATAAAAATATGATGATGAACCAGACAAATATTCCATCATCTTATCTTAAAAGGAATAATTTTAATCTATGGATCACTTCCAACAATATAGTTACAAATATCAAATTATAAATGAGCACAAGGATATATAGTGCATATTAAAAATTTTTATTTTGGTAGAAAGACTAATTGCCTTGATAATTTTATTTCACAGCTTTACCTAGTGGCATATAAATCTTCAATCAATTTTCTTTTCAATTCAATATTTTCTTGAACCTTTATCAGCCCATTATGGGAAATAATGAATATTTTTGAAAATGCTTAAAAAAAGAAGTAAAATGGGGAATCTGTGCATATATTCACTAAATAAGATTGTGTTTGTATACATGACAGGATATTTAAATGTGAGTCCTGCGGAAAAGGGTTATAACTATTATTTTCTATCCTTAGTACTAAAGGGTATGAAATGATTTATGGTTTTGACAACATTTAGATATTTTTTTGAATTAAGTAAAGGAACAATAAAAGTGTACATTTGCTTGCATCATTTTTATTCCATTTTGTTGAAAATCCTTGGTTGCCAAAGTATCCTAATGCTTTTTATGCCACTTAAACTGACTTGTTATTACTGGTGCCCAAAGCCACCATGCCCTATCCTAGTTACATCACTGTCAAAAACGTATAAATGAGCTATTACATTAAGTTTTTTATGGTTTATTCTAGAGCCCAGTTTAGATTTGTTTTTCCAGAATCTGGTCTGAGAAAAATAAAATTTTGACTGATTTGATCTGAGATTTTTTTTTCAAAGATCCTAATCCAATTCAGTCCAAAATCTTAATTTCAAAATAGGTCTAAGTTTAATCAAATCTATTTTTTTTAAACTTTAAAGCACAATAATTTAATGAAATTAAAAAAATATAATATGGTTATTTTTAAAATAATTTTCTTTATAAACATAAATGATATTTATTTCGGGTCCGATCTGATCCAGAATAAATTTTAAAATCAAGTCCAACTTCGACCAACTTAAAGGGAAAGACTATTGGAGTCTGATCCAAATGCACAGAGTTTCTAGTTTATACCTTCTTTAGTTTATGGTTGTAACAGATTATATTAAAACTTTAAATTTCCTCAAACAATAAGCAAAGTTATCTCTGGATAAATTTATTAAAAAAAGCTTTGTTTATTGCTGGGAAACACTGCATCATAGATGGTGACCACTTTAAGGCTATAAACCTAAATTGGAATATACTTCAAAATAATATTGACTTATTTAATATTAGAAGCATCAAATTTTCTTTGTCAGCCTGAAATTTTTATAAGTTGTCTACTATTCTCTGTGTCCTTTCTTAAGAATGATTATATCATATTATGTGTAATTTATATAAAAAGTATTAAGATTATAAATGAAAAAAATCTTAAATGTTAAATTATAGTCATTATATTTATGGTTATACCATCCATTGAAAACAACAGAAACTTAATTTTTAAAATTGCTCCTATGTAATGTTACAAAATATGTAAATGGAATAATAAATTCTTAGGCAACAATATATATGACTAGATATAAGATTGATAATTAAGAGGGGGGATAGAATAAATATATATATTTTTTTTATTATATCTAGTCTTATTAGTTTTGTTAAACAGCCCGATTATGGTCGATTTTTAAAAACGGCCCAATTACGATAGCCAAAATAATATTGCAAGCCTTGAGATTTAGCAAACTGAGGTCATTTCTGTCATCTATGAGCAAAATCTCCAAGTTTACATAATATTATCTTGGCTAAAATGTTAATCGGGCAATTTATAAACACCAAATCTTATGTTCAATAAAAAAAGTTTTAAAACAAATAGTTACAAAAATAAAACACAAATATGTCTGAAAAATTGAAGATGGCCTCAGATTTTAATTGGCACTACATTTAATGTGCCTTAAAATCTTATAATAACAAATTGTTTTAAGCATTTGGCTGCATTAATCAAATTATTTTTTTTTTAAAGATATTATTAAGGCCAATTTTTATATTTTTCTGCCCCATAAATTATTGAAGAAAACATTAGATAATCACTTAATAAACGATGGAATAAATAATTTACTAAAATTGAAAATAATAATTATAAGAATTTAGTTTTAAGCTCCATCCCTCCTTAATTATCAATCTTTTACTTTAGTTATATATACCAAACTTAATGTTCAAATTAAAGATCTGCAAGGGCTCGGGCCTAATTCTATTTAAAATAATCGGGTTCGGGCCGGGCCTAATATTTATAAAAAAAAATTTGGGCCAGGTCAGACCTTGAAAATTTTATTAAATATATCTAATTTATCAATTTATATTGAATTTTTTATGTAAAATAAAAATTCTTGATTTAATTTATTGTAGGTCTTTTATTTTAAGCAATACAAAAATTAATTTCTATATTTAAATAAATTCGGGCCTGGCCGGGCCGGTAAATTTAAAAAAAATAAATTTCGGGCTGGTCTTTAAAAATTAGGCTTAGGCCCGATGCAGATCACTAGTTCAAATTGATATAGTTTGATAATTAATAACTAATTATTTAATATTCGAAAATGGTAATGCAAATAGCAAGTTCAAATTTTGTTTCTGATCTCACTATAACCCAATTTAATCACCATATTAATTGCAAATTTCAATTTTCTGAAATAAGTGTTTAGAATTTTAATTCACCATATGGCCCTTTATTGTGGAAACAGATGACTCATATTTCTATTGAAAATATAATGATTCCGAAAGTCAAATACATGACAATTAAATATAAAAAAAAATTACATAAAAATTCATTTTTAATTTATATTTTAGCTAGAACAAGGACAGCCTATGCAATTTTGTCATAACTTCCACTTGAGGCAATTCAATCAATCTACCTGGCTCATCACCAACGAATTATTTAGATTCTCATTTTTAGGCTAAAAATACCGAATTTGTACAATAGAATGTATTTTTTTTTACAAAAAGAATTTTATACTGATATATTTTTTTTAAATGCGATAAAATAAACATGATATATATCTTCCCAAATATAAATTTGATTATGACGAAATGAATTATAAAATATGAAAGATTTACACAGTCCCATTAGATAGATTCACTTGTCTTCAACAATCTTTTTTTAGAAATAAAATTTATTTTTCAACCAATGTAAATGATCTTGATAAGTTAGCTATTCAAGTAGTATTTTTTTTATTATCATTACTCAGACCCTTAATAGCCCATTATAAATAATTAAATAAATTATATATTTTTTTTATTCTTTTGCTCTCAACCATTTTATATGTGATATTATTCTATTAAGATCAGCCATGTTTATAATTTCAAAGCTATAACCTAATTTTAAAGTAAATGTGATTTTTTTTCGTTATTATTTTTGAAAAACCACTTACATTTTATAAAATTACCTATTTTTACGTGCGGCATATAAATGGTTTTATATACACGAAATAAACAGTCGCGTAATGCCGTTACAATCACGTTATTATCTTAAATCTGAGTTCCAATTGGGATTTTATTAAGTCCAAAGGGTTCAAAATTTGAATATTCAATTATCTCGTAATTCAGATTATCTATTATGATTTTAATACAAATATTATCTGATTCAAAAAATATTAGTTGGATAATTTAAAAAAAAACTTTTAAGCTCATTTAAATTTAGGATATACAGAATATGATTGCTGTAAATGCTTAGAATCTTTACTACTTAGTTATTTAATGGTTATTCTTAAAAATAATAATAAACATACATTTTATATAAATTTAAGTATTAAAATAAATTGCACCCAAGTTTGCATACTTATACTATAGATACCCCCCCCCCTTCCCCACTCCAAAAAATATAAAATATATAATGCTATTTGTCAATAAAAACAAACCAAAATGAATAATTTTTTGATACCACTCTTTGGAGGCCGATCCGACTCAATATTCTCGATATTAAATTGATATCGGCCGATTACCCATCCAATATATCTAATTTTGTATTTTATAAAGATACCAATGGTTTTAATTTTTAATATACTTTTTATTAGTATAACATCTATAATTTAACTACCATAATTAATGTCATTTAAGTATATTAAAATGTTCAATTATAGTTTATCAATTCAATTGCAATTCTAAAAGTATATAAAATATTTTTATTGTTAAATCACTTTTATATAATAAGTAATATATTAATCTATATATATAAGTAATAAACAAATATATATGAAATTTTAACATTAATATATCGAAGATTTCTTTTTAGAAATACCAAAATTTCAAATTTATCAGAGGTCAGGCTGCGGCGATAGTAACTGAATATCACCAGCTTCACTAAAAAGAGATTCTGAAGAGATTATCGCACATTTTTATAAACAGAATGCGCAAAAAAAATAACAATATGGCAAAATGTTTATTACTTATCATTAAAAAATAAACATAAAAACGGATTTCGAATTTATTTATAAAAATAAATGATTTTAAATATAACTTTTTTTAAAAATTTTATTTTTGTTAAAGAAGCCATTTTATATCGGATCGGATAGAAAATTTTATAATATTGGCCGATAACCGATATTTTAAAATGGGTGAAATATCGGTACATCCCTAATCAGTTACAATTTAATTTTAGGTAAGATGAGCCGAACATTTCATAAAAAATTTAAAAAGAAGGCAAAAAGTGTTAAATTTTTACTAAAATTTTAGAAGTAACAAATTAACTATCTAAAGTGCTATTTACTAACTTTTCCAAATCTTATGTCACTAGCGGAGGCCACTTCTCAAAAATAATGGGGGAAAATGAAAAATGATTCCATCTCGAGAAAGCGCGTGGTTTCTGTAGGGTTATTACATTATACCAATTATCATTAAATTGCCTTTATTTATAATATTATCGTTAAATTGTTTTTATATATTTAAATGAGTTTTAAAATACTTTATTATATTTTTTGGCTATATTATTACATAAAAAGGCTTGATTTTATAGTTTATCGTTTTCATCATTACTTATAAGTTGAATTAATATAAATATACCAAACTCTCGCATGGTAAGTCGCTACTTCTAATTCTATCATAGTGGAGGATAGAAATTATATTATGATAAAAGTTCATTTTGAAAACATTGGATCTTAAATTTGCTGCAGAGAACATTGTGGATGAGGCTACAAAAAAATATAAAGCTTTTCGAGACATCTTTATTTTATTAGAAGAGGAAACATAGGTTTTCTAATTTTTATTATTTTTTTAAGCACCATTCAGGCCAAATTATTAGAAAAAAATATTAAAGCACAAGCCTGGCCTGTAACAAAGTTAATAGTGTTATATATGTTAAAAAAAAATCGCGAATGTGTGTTCATTGCATAAAAAAGTTTGCAAAAATTACTATAAAAATGAAATAAATTTTTTTCGCGTATATTATCAGTTTTTCAAAATTAGATAATGTAAAATATATAAATATATCACCGTTTTAATAAAACTATATTTTTTTTAAATGAAAAAATAAAAATTAAACGATTTTTTCCCACCAAAATACTTATAAAATATAAATATGTATTATTTTGAAAAATTACAATTTTATATCAATAAATTGTGCTAACGAAATAATATATCATTATCAAAAAAAAATAATAGAAAAAATTTCAATTACTAATTAATTCTTTTTTAAAAATATTTTCAAACAGGGATTGTGTTTGAATAATATAAAAAAATTATTTTTGACAAAGAAATAAGAAAATCGTTTTAATTATTTTGATAAAAAACCGAATTGAAATAATTGAACGAAATAGGTTTGTAACGAAAACGATAATTGATCTTATAAAATACAAAAAGGATAAAAAGCAACGTGGAAAAAAAATATGACTAGGATCTCCAAATCGGTTTATTTGTATTTTTCAACAAAGTTTTTATAGAATCGGGTAAATCTTTCCAAGAATTCTTCCATTTTGGCCTCAGGGGGCAATATCGTCATCCTAATTCATGATAAATATTTTGTAAAATTGTTGTCACCAATATAATATAAAAGAATATATATATGAGACCTGCAGAGGTACCATTTGGACAGACAGGCTCGGCTCGGATTTTTTAAAAACATTAATTTTTTATAGCTAATAAAGACGATTCAAAATATTTGGTTTTAAAATATAAGGCCCCGCCCGGGTATTTTTTCAAAATAAATTTTCAGGCCCGCTTGGGTGTATTTAAAAAAGATTTAAATACGGTCTGGCCCGTGTACCCAGGCGGGCCTGCAGATCTCTGATATATATATAAGAGGAAATATTTGTTTACAATAACTTTACAAAAATAAGAAATGATATAGAGGAAAATCATTCAAGGTTATATATATCTAGTATAAATTGTAAAATACAACCCAATTTATAAGCAGCTTACACTAATAAAAAAACAATAGAACGTAATTTAGAAAATTGTATCTACAAAAGATCTAACCAAATAATAGGGCTGTCCACATTATAAAGTATCAAAGAAATCACTCTACAATTTTATGGCCAAGCCAAATAACAAAATCAAGCTACATCGACGTCTCATAGCCTAGATTATAAGCAAAAGCTCAAGGAAAGATTTTGTAGAAATATCCGAAAATGATGATTATTATATTCTTAATAAAATTTTTCGGAAAACGTTATTTCAATTATGATATTCATTATTTTTGTCAAACAACATTTTTATTATGACATAAAATTGAAGAGAGATTCTCGATGATTTGCGGATGACGAAAAACATAATCAATTTTATATAAAAAGTAGAAGTGACAATAAATTTGCTCAAAATGAGGCATAAGAAATTTGTAAAATGGAGTTAAAGCTATTTCTAAATTTGATATACTTTTCTTACGCAATAATGAACAAATTGCCCATAGCATTCGATAGGACTAAGACATATGAGTCTTTATATTTTATTACTTATGAAAAATAAATAAGATTTGAAAATTTAGTGTAGATATCTGCAATGCCAAGACCATGTCTGAAAAAATATTATTTGAGCCGGGCTGGGAAAAAAAGCAAAGGTTTTTACAATCAAAATTTAAACAAAATGTATTTTATAACCTTTTTTTCATATTTGTTTTAATAGAATTTTTGTTTTGTATGTGTAATTAAGATCATAATCTAGAATTTTCAATTTATTCTCATAACAGTCAAATCATGATTGGCAGAAATTTTTAAAGGGTCTGCTGGGTGACCTTTGTAGAAAATTAAATCCAAACTGGGTCGGGTTAAAAAAAATTGCTATTTACAAACCTCTAATGTAGGGATAAAAAAATGAAATATTCAGACTTCAATGTTAGGATACTGTAACCAGAATTTTAATATTACCATTAGCATTTTTCATATTTCGAGACACTAACTTTCATTCACTCATTCAATACTTCTATATATGTTCTTTTTTTAAATAGATTCAGTGATTAAAAGTCTAAGTACCGAAAATGATAGGTTCCTTCTTGTTGGCCGAATCCGCTCCCCGGAACTACGCAAAGTCCTTCCGCTTCTAACAGCTCCATAGAGAACATAAAATCCGGTTCCATGTTTTTAGACTTGATAAATTTTTACAAAATATATATAGCAATTTAATAATTTACGTTCTGTGATAATTCTTATTCATATTTAAATACCCCCCCCCCCTCCCACTCTTTGCTAAAATAAATTCATTAACAAAACTTTACTTTGGCCAAAGCGACGGCATTGGCGGGAATAGAAATTCGTGGAAAAGCGTACATAGCTCCTGAAACGTTATTACACACGACGCCTGGTATGCGGTTGAGAGCGGAAGCTGTTAGCTTTGCTCGTTTCGCCAGGGCTTTCAGGATGGCGTCCTTTTCCTTTATACAATATTTATCAAAGATTATAATATTATCAAATTTTTCAGCGATTTGATATGTATAGATATACCACCTATCTTTGAACCAATGTAATAAAAATATCAATATTTTATATATATATATTTAAAAAAAAAACCCAATTAACTTTAACGAATAATTAAGTGTATTTTTTTTATATATTCTCCAAAAGTTAATATTCCCATTTAAAATATATGCAAAGTTAATGGGTGAATGTAGTGTTGTTAAAGAATTCAATTTAACCGATTTTTACAAGATTTTAGTCAAAATATCACTACCTAAGCCTCGAAATAAGTCTAAACCTTTCTACCACCTGTGACCAAAATAAAAAAGCTTGGGCAATTTACTTTTGACCAAAATTTCGAGTTAACCGTTTTTAAAAATTGTCTAAAATAGAGACATTTAACAACGGTAGAAGTAAGCGACTAGTTAAATAATTTTAGATCCATTTTCTTGTTGCAGATAAAAGCAAAAAAAAATAGTGTACAATTTTTAAACTATTTTTTATTTTTTAAACATTACATCAAATAAATTGCGTTTTAGTTCCTCGCATTAATTTATTATTTAAAAATTATTTATAAAATAATTTTTTTTTATATATAAAATTATATATAAATCATAATATAACCAGAAACAATATATATCGAATCGATACACTAAATATTGACACAACCCGACATATTATAAATTTTTAAATATATGTAGTGTTGTTGAACGGCTCGATTTGAGTAGATTATTTAAAACGACTAACTCAATATATAATATTGCGCTAGCCTCGAGATTTCGATAATAGATGTGTAAACCTTTGTACCAACCTATGGGGAGAGTCTTTGTGTTTATGTAATATTTTTCTGGATAAGAAATTGAATTAGTAGTAGCCTTTTAATAACACTATATACGGGCCATTCATTCCATGTCAAATCAACCACTTTACAATCCGACGATCTCAGATTTTGTTAAAATTTGGTATTTAAGTTAATAAAATATTGTAATTGACGAATCCAAAATATTAGATTCTTAACTCTATCAGAACCGGAGATATAGGGCTTCAAAGTGGCTCAGCTTGGTCATTTTTCGAAAATAATGATTTTTTAAAATAGGGATAACTATTATATTAACCCTTTTGCGCCCAGCGAGATCATTTGTCATCAAAATTTTTAATCAATTAATTTTTATATTTAAAAAACGAATGGTTGCTATTTAGACACATTAATTTACAAAACAATATTTATTCTTTTATATTTTATCATTAACCTGTCAAAATCATTATTTTATTATATCAGAATTTAAGTTCAAAGTTAGGTATTTTAGGCGCCAAAATTTTTACACTTTTACATCGATTATTATTCTATATAAATAAGGTAAATAATATTTTTATGATAGATTATTACTAGTATTTCATGTTTAGTAAAAAAAAAATTACTATTTTTTTATATGATTTTTTAAAGAAAATCCAAATTGGTAACATTAGGATTTTCTTATGTAATTTTTTCCATAAATTAATAAATTAAAATAAAATATTGGAAATATGATATAGTAAGAATTGAATATAGGCTATTTTCCATTTAAAAGTGAAAATTTTATTTTATATTTTTTTAAAAATTTAATAAATAATTTTTAGATGACCTCAACATGTATTATACCAGAGGGAGATATATCTGATGTAGATATTGAGATATGTATATCTATTATGGTTCATTTTCATAGCCCTAAGTAAACTCTTAAATGTATGTTAAATAAAATTTATAAATTTTTTTTAAATTGCGGTTAAAAATTTGTAATTAATTTTTCAAAATGTTAGACTAAATTGTGTTTTACAAATTTAAGATATTTTGTAAAGAGTACCAAGAACTGTTCATATAAAAATTTCAAAGTGGGGCCTGTCGTATAAAAAAAAATTTATTTGTTTTCTTGGTTTCGTCGACTCATTATGATTATATTTTTTTTTCCTTAATAGTAAAAATGTTATGGGCTTATTTGGCAATGTTTATTTTTTGTTGTTGTAAAAATTGAATCTATTTATAAAAAGATTTTTTTAGGGCTTCCCTATAAAAGGGAAGCCAAAAATCGAATTTAAATTATTAAATAATTATTTTTTTTAGTTTATAATTTTCATTTTTAGATTTTATTTTAAAAATTATATTTTAGAAATTATATTATAAAACTGAATAAAGTTTGAATAAAAATTGTTGTTTACTACTGAAGAGGTATAAAAGGATTTTCTAAGTTATTCGAAATAAAAGCGGCACAACGCTAATAGGGCCAAAAAGATTAATTAGGAAAAATTTTATATTCGAAGAATCAGCTAGATGGCGTAAGTAATTAAAATATCAATTTTATTAATATAAGTCAATCTAAGAAATTTTTTTGATTCCATAATAAAATATTTATCGAATAATTAATAGTAGGCATAATACTTAAAATAATTTTAATTAAATTTCTTTAAATTTAATTTATATATTGCCATTTTAGATTCATAATTAGTTAAAATATAAATTCTTCCTACAGATATGGCCACATAACTTAATACATTATTTACTTTATAATATATACCAAACGGATGTAGCGTAACCTGGGAAGTGGCCCAGTATAACCTTAGACTTCATCTTGAAGTATAAAAGAATAATTTCAGAAAAATCACAGATAACCAAATAATGATCATGTTCTAAATTGTTTTTAAGATTCTAATGGAATCTATTTTGCTGTTCAGTAAAAAAACATGGCGAATCAAAATATATTTTTTCAAATAAGTAATTAAGAAATTCGTCAGCTGTTTGCGTTAGGGTCTCTAGACTGTCCTATCTATAGATATCCATTGGTTGAACGTTATCCTGTATATATCACGTGCAATTAATAAATTTTCTAATTTCGCCCTTAATGCATGGTCCCCAGGATATTCATGACATTCGCCAAAATATAATGTCTGGCAGGGGAGGATTGCAGGAATTATGTATTTGTATGTCTTTATCTCAAAATCTTATTTTTTGTTAAAGTTGCTAGATTGCTATCTATTATTAGCAACTTAACATTCTGAGGGATTAGGCAGACACAAACCGAGTGAATGACACTTGAACCTAGTATTATGCAATTTTTAGGGTGCAATGAGGCGAATTTTAAAAATCCGATTTTAAGAAAAGAGTAGATAGCATTAAAATTTATATAGATTTATTTTAAATTATTTAGAATTAACAGTTTTTGAACATTAATTCTTTCATCATTTTCAATTATAGAAAGGCAATATTTTTTCCGGGCAGTAATCTACTATATTCATCGTTTAAATAGAAACTTTTTACAACGTCAACTGTGCTCTGATCTATGATTATACCTGCCTTGGGATTAGAAGTTAAAAGAATTCCCTTTTGACCAAGAATGAATTTACGGGTCATATAAAACGAAGCAAATTGTTTTATAATTTTGTGAATGCTTCAATTTGGAGGTAATGTCGTTAATAATTGATATTTTTGTGTTTTAGAAAATAATGGATAATTATTTTTCACATAAATTATCAAATCTTAGCTACCATTTGTATTCATTTTTGGTTGAAGAATTTCGCCTTATTGAGATATCCTTCTTCTCTTAGTTTTTTTTAATTCTAAGGATTCTAAAAAAGTGTAGGGAGTTGCGCATTGTTGTTATTAATTGGATAATCATTTTCTATATCGGTGGAGGTTTAAGAAATTATTTGAAGTTGTGAGGATGTTGTTATCCTCTAAGATTGGAATACTATTCTTCTTTTTATATAAAAATTTGCGACACTTAGGACAAATAGATTCTCTAATGTTAATTTTATGATACATAGTTCCAAATCGTCACTTTTCTTAAACCTTTTTTGGAATATTGATTTGGAAGATTCAATGGATTTGTACAAAATATATTAATAAATTAATTAATTTTAAAAATTACAAATTTTAGGAAGTAACAGATAAAAAAATCGATAAATTATTGAAAAAAAATTATTCGAAAAATTGATAATTTATTAATGCTTTTACTTAATAAATTTTATTATCTATAAATTAAATTAAAGGAAATTTAATTAAAATTATTTTAAATATTATGCTTACTATAATTATTCGATAAATATTTTATTATGTAATAAAAAATTTTTCTTAGATTGATATATATTGTTAAAATTGATAGTTTAAACTACCTACGCCATCTAGCGGATTTTTTGAAAATAGGATTTTTCTTAATTAATTTTTTTGGCCCCACTCTGAAATTTTTTATATGAACAGTTCTTGGTACTCTTTACAAACTTCTGAAATTTGGGGAAAAAAATTTGGTCTAACATTTTAAAAAATTAATTACAAATTTTTAAGCTCAATTTAAAAAAAATTTAAAAACTAAAAATTAATTTTATTTAACATACGTTTATGAGTTTGCTTAGGGCTATAAAATAAGTCATAATAGATATACATAGTGCATCTAATATAAAAGTTATCCCAATTTAAAAAAATTATTATTTTCGAAAAATGACCGAGCTGAGCCACTTTGAAGCCCTATATCTCCAGTTCTAATAGAGTTAAGAGTCTAATATTTTGGATTCGTCAATTACAATACTTTATTAATTTAAATACCAAATTTTAACAAAATCTGAGATGGTCGGGTTGTAAAGTGATTGATTTGACATTGAATCATACAGATACATGTATTTAAAAAAAAGGCAAGAAGATAGTTCACAAAAGATTTAATCAAATAGGCAATATTTGGTATAAGTGGAGAAATAATAGATACAACATTAAGAAATTAACAGAGAAAATAATATAATATATAAATATTAGGGCTGTGCCGATCCACATATTTTTCACCGATCCGATATTTCTTCAAAACCGATCCGATATTTTTACTGATTTTTAATCACCCTAGTTTAAACCAAATGTAATTATGAAATCAATATTTTTTATGCAAAAAATCGAATTATGAATAATCTTATTTTTTTATTTCTACAATTAAGACTATACCATTTTATGTTGGAATTATAAAATTGTAATATTTAATATATAAAATTATAATATATTAGATTTTTTTAATAAATATGAGAGCCTCTAGATTTTCTGGGAATAAGCTTCTACGATATGGACTATCTATATCTCCTGCCGTACTAAAGGCAGACTCAGATGATTCCGCAGATAACGCATTTTGCAAAATTATCTTTGTCTTTTGTAAAATATTTCCATAATTCAGATACCATATTTAAAAAAATTTTCTTTTATTTAAAGTATAAATAAAAAAATTGGCGTTATTTAAAAAGATTTAAAATAAATAAAACTTTAGGTGTTCCTTTCTATTTTTATAAAAAAAACTATTAAAATACTTTAAATCTAGTTTAAAAAAGAAATAAAATTTAAAAAAATTATTTAATAAATATTAAAATAATGTAAAATAAATATACATAACATAAAATAACAAAAAAAGAAAAGTAAAAAGATCGGATCGGTTTTTACAAGTATCGGCCCGATCCGATATTTTCGGAAAACGCTGAATATTGGTACCGATCCGATCCGATATTTAATATCGGCACAGCCCTAATAAATATAAATTGGTTACACAATATAAAAATTTACAACCCCCCCCCCCCCCATTTATTGATAATTTTATTAAATTAAAGTAATCAAATACACACAAAATAAAAAATCGGTTATTCCAAACACCGATCCAATTACAATATCATGTATAGTGTGTATTAATTATCCGATTCGAACAAAACGATCTGGCTTATTAGGAGGATTTATCGTGTATATCGATCTCGCTTTGACTCAAAATGTTTATTATTTAAGTCAAATCGGGATGAATTTTTTTTTACAAATAAACCCTCCAAATGAGTTGGCCATTTAGCGCGACCCATCTAATTAAATCACTTACCGATAAAAAAAAATAACACTAAGCATGGTGATAATTTAAGAGTTGAGTTTCCAAAAAAAGGGAACTATAATTCGAGATGTCCAAAAAAATAGAAGAAAGATTAGTTTTGTATACCTGATAAAATAATGGTCCACTAGGGTCATCCACGCTTGGCGGATTGACGATGCATCCCATTAAAGCCTATGTGCGAAAAAAAAACATATATTTAATAAATTAATAACAATAAATTGGAAAAAATTCGTCTAATATGTATTATGAAACCAAAGTTGATCATTTATAATAAAAAAAATGTTACTTGTCCTAGAGTGGTAGGGCACAGCCTAGCCGATATCATTTTAATGTAGAGTTCTTTTACGGCTCTTTCCACGTTTTCGAATTGAACGTACCCACCTCTAAGTCCACATCTAATTTGAACGGAAGGAAAATAAACAATATTTTTAAAATCATAGATTAAAAAAAAAATTTTTTTATCCCATCTATACATCTACTAACCTATCTAATCTGTATTCTAAGAATAAAAGTATTTTCTCAAAAAGGAGCATTTTTGATTTTAGAAAATTTTTTTTCGTAAATTTCCCTTTTCCCTTAAATGTTAGGAGTAAATATTATTTTTTGGGGGTGAGGGGGGGGATATTCAAATTATCTATATTTCCCCTATCTTTTCAGCCCAAACTAAATATGAGCTTACTCTCCCATATATCCCTTGGAAGCGCTATAGAAAGATGCCAATTCTTGGGTTTTAGCTACTTCAGCTGGCATATCTTCTTTTAGGACCTTTCTGAAAGATTTCCACTTGAGGCCTGGCTCGTATATGTTTTCTTGATAAACCTTTTTAAAAAAAATTAATAAAATGGTAAAGTTTAAAACTGGAAGCTATGGTCTTAGACGACTAAAAAAACAATTTCTTCGGTAAATATTCAAAAATAAAATTTAGAGGGTCATCAAGAAAATCAAATCCACCCAAGAAAATTTCTCGAGTTGTTTAATCTTGACCCCTCCTCACCCCTTCCTTTTTCATAAGACTAAATAATTATTTCATTAAAATAAGGATTATATGCAAAGGCTTTCGCCAATTCTTTCGAAATATTCCATTATAAAGAAAAAACAACAAAGTATATAAAGAGTATAACCTCATCGCACATCAAAAACAAATGGTTGTCGTAAGCGAACTGTATAATTTCTTTCATATTTTGATGGGATAAAACTTGTCCTATAAATTAAGAGAAATTTTTAAAAATTCATTTATTATAAATTTGTTAGCGCAGCTGTGTGTTACTTTTTCAACTTTAAATCGTTTTTTTGAGAGCGTTTTTTTTTAAAAATTTGAGATTATAATATTAACGGAAATGTATTCCAGCAGGTTTAATATACCTACCTTGTATATAATTTAGCGCTAACTTTTGAGTCACTTATCATTTATATGAATAATCGAGGGAAAAATATGAATTATAATAAAGTTCAAAAGTTCAGGGTCTGAAATCCATAGGGTAGGTATTCCAAACATGATGGAATATATTTCTGGGAAAATGCACTCAAAAAAAGATTTAAGGTTGAAAAAATAACACATTTCCGCCAACATATATAAAAAAAAGAAACATAATCCAGAGGAATAGAGGTCGGTGCGGGTCAATTAGAACCGTTAAAATATTTTGACTAGGCTTCGGACCGACCTCTAAGGGGCAATTTGTTTCTTATATTTTGTTCAAATTATCTTTTGCAGACAAGGGATAGATATATATATATATAATAGGTAGTGGTGGCTATTTAATTTGAATATATATATAGGCAAGGTATTGTTTATTTAATTCAGCTTCCAATATTGAAGTAAAGAGCGATAACTAGAAAGGCAACGCATGGGAAAAAGGGGGAAATATTTCCTATAGTTTCTCCAATTTTTATATTGTTTAATTTCCCTATTCATCTTTAAAATCAATCACCCAGATTAAAGGTTGTAAATAAAATGTTTCAGAATTATCTTTAGCATAAAATATTAGATTAATTAATTAGATAATTTATAACAATTACCTTGGTATGTAACAGGATAGTAAAAAAAACATAATCATAGCTAACAGAATATTCAGCGGGAAATTAATTTATATATATATACAACCCTTACAGTATTTTGAGATCACAATGATGTCAGATTTAAATTTTTGTCTTATCTAGCTAATTTTATGGGGGTTAGAAAAGAGCTTCAAATCGTATCCGTAAATGTTTTCAATTTCGCCATAACAATTATTCTAAATTAGGTTAGTTATTCTCGATTTCACGGTTTCCTTAAATTTTAATTTATAATGCTATCCATATAATAAAATTTTGAGATCACTCTCAGAAATAAAATTCAGTTTCAAATGTTTAATTTTGTCTCACTTTATTATCTTTTAAATTGCCCTTTTAACAACTAACAATAGTAATAGTGTTAAATAAAGATTAATTTACAAGAAAAATAAAAATATAATACAGAAATACGGTAAATTTAATCGCTTAAATCACATTTAATAATATTTATTCAAAATCTCGAAATAAGGATATTTTTTTTTAAAAAAAAACGTGAAAATGTCGGAAAACCTGTTTCCATAAGAGGGAATATTCTAGAAAGCTCAAGGATGGACTAATTGCTTTAACTCTTGATGCTTAACATCTTATTTGTTGTCACATAGAAAGAAGATAACAATACGACAAAAAAAATGGGAGTTAGATTAATATATTCATTGATATATTTTTTTTTAACATTGAAATTTCGCAAAATTACCCTGAAAATATACAACCCTACCTGTAACTAACGTAGGAATAACGTAATATTTGGAAAAAACCTGTAGGATTGCCCGGGTTGATAACGCACAGGACTCTGACGTCACTTTGAGCTTTACCCCGTTCCAGGGCGTGTTTTAAGGTTTCTATTTGAAGGCTCCAATTATCGGTTTCGTTGAGTTGGTACCCAACCTAAAAAATCGAAATATAGTAAGTAGGGTATAGGGAAAGAAAGTATGATCAACCCATTCACGCATAACAAAATGATCCATCTTTCGTTGACGATTATATTATAACTTTGAAATCCTTTCTCTGATTTAAATATTATCCAGAAATTCAAAAAAATTTTTATTGAGAGATAATATGCGCCCACCCCCATATATTCCAGATTATATTATGGTTAAACGCGCGAAAGATTTATAGAAGACAGAGGATTAAAGATAGATTGGGGGGGGGGGTACCTATAAAAATTTATTAGTTTGTTAGTGACGATTTTGTCATAGATAATTTTTATAATAGGTAGACATCCAAAAATAATAAGACGTAAAAAAAAAGCTTCCATTTTTGATCAGAATGAAGGAGTTGGATAGAAATTTTAAGAGTGGATTGGCTAAAAAAAATCATGTATCCGAAGCGTAATTTTTTTATGGGTAATGAAAATAATGGATGAAAAAGAGTTGTGAGAGCCACAAAAATATGGTCTCCGTATCTAGTGACAATTAATGCTATTTCAGCCAGTAACATCTAATAAAAGTTATATTGGATATTCTCTTGTTGTTAATCGATAAGTAATAACGTTATCAATTTATTCTTGCCATACATTTTTTTCGTTTTCTTAGTCCAAAATTTTTTTTCCGGGAAATAGAAATTTACATCTGTTAACGGTTACTATAATTTTTAGCAAAAAATGACGCCATTTTTTTATAAGAAATATAATAGTAAACAAAGCTCCAACAATGTATTTGTACTATAAAATAAATGCTATTTTTTTGAATTTATAAGGGTTCGTAATGAACGAATTTTTAGCCAACTCATGTAAATTGAAGAAAATAGAAAATTTTGGCGGAAAATATAGGTTAAATGTCTCATTATATAATTTTACAACTAAATAATTGATATAATTTAATTGGCTCCGACCCGGTTTAAGTCTTGTAAAAAATTTTTTTTATTTAATAAGCCAATTACAGCCCAGATTTAAAATAATAATAAACCAATTGTTAATTAAAATGAGAGAACGAATGAAATATAATTTTTAGGGAGAGGTGGGGTCAAAAAATGATTAACAGAATTAAACTTGATCCATATCGTATTCCGTGAGGGTGGCAGAGTAGAGAGGATATTGCGGAATAGGAATCATTACTCCGGTTTTCTTGGCATCTTTGCTGGCTTGTTTGAACATGAACAAAACGTTCTAAAATACAGGATGATTTAAAAAATTTGTTACATATGTTGTATAATTTTTAAATTACATTTTGGTCAAGGTCGGGTTCAATGTCCATTTGTACTCTTTTTTGAAAATAAGGTGCTCACCTAGCCAGGATCCTTCTGAAAATACGTTTGGTACTATGGTTCAGTTTAACGCAGAAAGTTATTTTTTTTCTATATTAACGTCTAGAGTTTATATGATACCTCTTCTAGGTTTCACTTTCTAATATAGCCCTAAAATAATCAACTACAAAAAATCGTATCCAGCATGGATCACACATGACAAATGGGAGGTTCTTTAGCGATTTCGCAAAAGGATACTGAGCTTCAATTTCCTAACCATTCTTACTTTCCTATCCACTTTCGTATTTTTCCTATTTTCAAAAAAATCCATACAAAAATGGAATCCTTTTAAAATACATTTATTTTGAAGAATTTACTCTGATAGCTTCACTGGCTCCGGCAGAGAGAAACACGTCTCCAAAATGGCAGTCACCCACGCCATCGCGCCGAGTGATAAATGATGCTACGTCGCGACGAACGATATCTAAACCAGCGCTGGCCGAGTAAGAGCCTTAATAATATATATATACGTTTATTTAAAAAAGTGACGTATGCAAGCTTAATGATTCAAAGATGTTTAAAAATTAGTGTGTATATATATACAATACATATGTTAGCGACAATGTGTTTTTTTATCTGGCAATGTATTATTTATTCAATAAATCATTTTTGAGAGCGCGTTTTTTTAAATTTTAAAAATCTGATTTTACCGGATCCATCATGTTTGGAAAATTACCCTACGAAATTTCAGACAATTTTTCCACGAACTTTTAAACTTAATTTAATTTAAATTTTCCCTATATTATTTTTTTATAATAAATTATAAATGACAGCAAAATTGTCTTCAATTCATAATATAGTTATTCCAAACATGATAGAGTTAAATTTAATAAAACCACGCTGAAAAAAATGATTTAAAGTTGTAAAAATAATACATCACGTTAATACATATATATATTAGGATATGGAATGTATTGGAATTCAGGAATCTCTCCAGATTAAGTCATTCATTGAGGGTAGCGTTGTTAACTCGTTTTTTAAAAACGGCAAACCCAACTTTTTAGCCAAAAAAATATGGCAAGATTCAAGATTTCGTTAATGGATGTCCAAACCTTTCTATCGAGCCGTTTAACAACAATAATTAAAGGGCGACTTCTTTTGGAAAAAAAAATCTGATCTTATAGGAAACGCATTTTTTATCAAGAATAATAGTTAACCACCTTGCGGGTTTCGGACAAATTTGCCAAGGAACCTTTGGAGTATACTCTTAATTTACACTAATTTTTTTTCGGATAAATTTAATTAAATACACACAATAGCTCAAGATAAAAATGTGTATGAATATTCACGGGTTTAGGCATTCTACTCATGGCGGGATACAATTTCGGGTTAAATTAAATTTCCCTAAATCTTAAAAAATCGTCATCTATAACAGTAAACGATTTATAACTCGAGTTATTACGTATAACCCACGGATTCTATATCAGACCCAATGGCTTATAATAATATTGGACTGAAAATTCTCATTAATAATAATGCATTCATTTTAAAGCGTCGTTCAGCTGGAGACAATGTAACACGCCATTTTGGTATAGGAATGTAGGGTCCAGAATACATTAAATTGTTTAAATTTGGTCCGCTAAATACATATTTCCTTGTGAGAAATAGCTCCTTAGTTGGGATAACTGTGAGGTAAGATACTATTTTATTTTCAAACCAAAAATGGCGCCCCTCAGCAGTTATTAATTGATGCACACTTTTAATGTATCACCGTCAGTCTAGGTATTATTATTATATCAAAAAAAATATTTTTAACCCCCCACCCCCCCACCATTATGTGTAATTGATGATACACGCAAAAATATATCATGCTGTTGTTATTGACTTCGAAACGGGTTGTGAATTTATACATCACATAGTATTGATAATTTAGGTGGATCGAATCAAAACGACCACCAAAATAGTAAAAAAAAAATCGAACTTAACTTAACTCGATATTGTTCGAGATCAAGTCGTGCTAGATTTTCACAAACCAAGTAGAAATGTTGACTCGACTCGTTTAATTAACAAATCCAGTTATTATGAGCACAGCAGCACATTCTGTATAAAACTTTTCATCAAATTAGTTATATTCTCATTTTTGATATACTACAAACTACGAATAATGCTCGCTTATCTTTTCCCTTTGAAGTTAAAAATTGAAGAAGAACATATGTTTATATAACCATAATAGTAAAATATTGGTTTTCGTTTATCTAGCAAATGATTTATGTTATATAACTCAAACAAAAGTATTTACCTAACCTTCCTCATTATGTATAAGTGATTATTTTATTACTATTTTTAGACAGTTAAAATTTTGGTTTACTAACTTTCCGAAGAAAAATAGATAAATCAAAATCTAAAAACTAATTTTTAAAAAAGAAAGGAAAAAAAAATAAAATAAATAAATTACAACAAATAAATTAGTTAATTAAAAGTCACGAATTTGAAAGTAATTAAAAGTGCTTTCGTTCGTCACTCATTCATATAACATATTCACTTGCTAAATTCATTATTTCATCGAAAATAAATAAATTGAAAACGTCTCCCAAACCTAAACTGTGACCAGAACAGGCGTTCAGGATTCGCTTGGCCTTGGCTATGACATCGGAGGGAAAAGTTAGGACGCATTTTTCAGGATCGGTCGTGATTAGTTGCGGATAAGAAAGTAGTGCTAAAACCTTTGTGGTGGAAAAATAATATCAATTTTATTATATTAATGAATTTGTTAAGTGCTAGAGCCGAACCATCCATTCACTATCTAAATTTTGGTTTAAAAATCACTCAGATTACAACTTTTTTTTGAAAACGATCACGCCTATTTTAAACACAATCAAGAGCTTGAATGACCCTGCATTCATAGTTAGCGCGAATTCGCGGCAAGGCATATGAAATATAATAATTTTTACATAAATTTTTGTATACTTCAACGCGAATTCGCCCTAACTGTGAATGTAGGGTAAGGCTCCCATTTAATCGCTCAGAAATTAAAAAATGAAATGCTTGAAAGAAAAAAAAATTCTCAAATGCTCAGAATAAATACAAATAATACATTGTAATGTTCATTGAAAAAAATGAATCTGAATTGTCCAGAAAAGAAGAAATAATTGCTCATATATAAAACTAACGAAAAATAAATAGATTCGATCAAAAAAAATTTTGTTTACTTTTTACTACCTATTTTTTTTTATAATTATATTAGCTTTAACGAATAACAGATTTTTATAACCACATCCAGGGACTTCTACAACAGAGGAGGGGGGGGGGTGGTGTTATAAAATTGTCAATGAAATTGGGGAGGGGGATTATAACGCTATAGTTATTGAATAAAATTGGAGAGGTAGAGGATTAGTTATAATTTGGGCATCTTTTTGTTGTTAATTCTGATTTGGTAGGATAGGAGGAGGGCGGGGGCGAGTATCTTAATTGGCTTAGGTGAACGTAGAAGTCACTGACCCCCCCCCCCAACCGATCTGATTTGAAGATATCTAGAGTGGTTATTAATAATTAATTTAGTTATCTAAGGAAAGACAATATACCGTAACGCTTTAATAAATGGCACGATTAATTTTAGGCAACTCGTACAAGGCTTATCACAATATATGAATCAGTTTTTCCCCCTTTCTTCTAAACCGTCATAGTAAGAAGAGAAATAATGGGTTTCCCATTTTATATAGCTAATAATTGGGGAATATTTCTTATACATACTCAAAAAACCTTTAAAAGCAGTATTAATAGACCCGAAAGAAATGTTATAGCTAAAAAAAAAATTTAGTGGTCGGGCCTGAAGTTCGCAATTTGTAAAGCTTAGAATTATGCAAATGTATGCCATTTTTTTTCTTAAATAAATTAATAAGAGCTGGGAAGGATAACTTGCACAAAATTATTTTATGTTTCAAAAGAATAGCAAAAATTGAGTGGGGGGGGAATAACGATTTTTAAATATTTCCAATACCCATTAATCAATTAGTGATTGTTAAGATTTTCGAGGGTAAATTTAAAAAAAAAAAAATATTTTAGCGATTCAGAACGTAGAAATGCTCCCCCCCCCCTTAAAAAAATTTATTTTATATATCTTCTTTGCCTTTCATAAAAAAATTGATAAATGATAGTTATATCCTCGAAAAATATAAAAACAAAAATTAAACTTGTCTGAAAAATGTGATAGGCTTTTGTCCCATGGCATGAGCGTCCCCAATGTTTGTCTTAATTATGTCTTCGAATTGGTATTTCCCAGATTCTCGCTATTTTAAATAAACAAAAATTTCTTGTATAAAAAAGGTTGAAATGATTTTATGACAAAATTAATTTGGGTATAGGGGTTTTCGCGTCGATACTTTGCCTCTGTATGTATCTGATTTCAATAACGCTATCCCCAATTATAACTGGTCGGGGAAGGTTTAAGTATGAGATTTTTGATAATAATTCAGCGAGATTTTATTGAGGTCGTAAGGGATAAATTAAAAAAAAAAGAATCACTTGAATTCGATAAGACAAAATGCCCATAAACTTTTTATGAAGAGAGAGGCAAAATAAAATAATGGGAGTGGATTTCGATATATAAGTTTGAAAGAAGGGTCAGTAAATCTAAATGTTCCATATAAATAGAAAGTTTAGAGATAAGTGAAAAATGTGTGGATCGGTAGCACAGCCCTATCATACAGCAAGTATATTATTGGACGCTATATAAAATAAGGGAGATACGTACAAAAAAGTTTTTGAAATAATTAAACAAAGAGATTAATAAGTTCTCCAATATTAACAACGTGTGAACAAATTTTTTTTATACATATCGCAAAAGATGCATCGTTTAGATGAATGAATTACCCTGAATTCAAAGTGAGCGCGGATTCGCGACGAAGTGGACAAAAAATAAGCGTTCGCGCTAACGGTGAATGCAGGGTTAGGAGTAAGTCTTTAAAAAAGCCCGATTCGGGTCCATTTTAAAAAATGGCCGGATTAAGACTTTAGCCAAAATATTATGTGTGCCTGGAGATTTTGTTCATATGATGGCAGAGGTTTACATAATATTATTTTAGCTAAAATCTTAATCGGGCTTTTTAACAAAGCTAGTTTAGGAGAATAAATGCTAGGAATTTTTTTCCCCTAATGTTTCAATATCGGAATAATAATGGGCATTCTATTGAGTTGGGTTTAGCTATTCCAATGGCTGTTAAAATTTGACGAGAGTATGTTTAATCGGAAGAGTTTTTTTTACATTCACACAGAACACAAATATTTGGTAGACATCTTTTTGGTACTAACCTTTCAAAAATATATGAAGTGTCACCAAGGTTACAAAAATGGGCACTTTGTGTTGGATCGTACAAACAAAAAGAATTAATTCTTGCCAATTAAATAAAGAATTAAATGGGAATTGAGAAATAAGGACGCCCAAGTAACACAGATCTTTGGGAATTCAAAAAATTTTCGAATAAGTGTATAAAACATATCTTTACCCTCAACTTACCACCACCCATCTTCTGGGGGAAGACGAACGAATGGTATTAACACTCAGCGACTACTTTAAAAAAAAGAGAGTTGAGTCAGTTGATTGAGTTTTTAGCTAACTATAGGAAAATTTCCACCGCCCCCTGCCCCTCCCCCCACAAAGTAGAAAATTTTCGGCGGAAGTAGTTTAGGATGAGGCATGCATTCAAAATGAGGTTTCACATACGAGAGCCCCCATTAGAGATATATGTATTAAAAGTGGAAATTGGCGTATATCAAGTATGGATCAAATCAGATAAATGGCATACGGAATTCATTTAAGGTCCGGTTTTAATTTTGATTTTCTTCAAAAAAAAAACATACTTCCATTGTTTATTAACAGAATTTTGAACCGACACCGGAAATTATTTATTTAAAAAAATGAACCGGAACCTTTTTTTTTATAGTCCTGGTTTCAAGCTCAATCTAGATTGTTTTTTTTTTCGCAAATTGTGCAACAAATTTGTATGACAATAAAATTAGTTGTATTACTCCGCGTAAAAAAAAATAAAACATAAATGATTAATAGAAGGATGATGAAACTAAGATCGCTCGTTATATATTAGTAAATATTATGCGAAACAAAACTACGAGAGCTGCATTGTCATTTGTGGTATGAATTATAGATTTATTTTACAAGAGAGACCATATTGTTTTTATTTTTAAATTACAAAAAATTTACAACAGAAATTTGGATTCCCTTATAATAGTATAAAATTAAACGGATATTAAAAAAAAATTAGTTATCATTTTCATTTGTTTTTTTTTCTTTCTTTTCTTTTCTTCCTTTCTTTCTTTCTTTGTAATGTTATTCATACTAAAAAAAAGGAACTTAGTAACCAAATAACTTATAACCCTTGTTTTTGATTTTTCAAAAAGTGACTAATGTTTTTTGCTTCTAACTATTTTTGAATGTCTCGTGTAATCGCTTCTATTCCGAATGATTAATTCTCTCCTTTGTTTGATTTTTTAAAAAAACGAAGAAGTAAATCTGTTTGAGTGGGGAATTTCAATTCACAGGAAAATGGATTTGTACCGAAGGAAGAGGAGATGCTATTGTGTTGTTCCAACGGTGGAAAGATTTTCTCCAATTATTTATTATTAATACAGTAAATCCCCTAAATTAAATATGGTTTAGACATGGACCTTCTCAAACATGCGACGATTTTAGTGACATGCCATCCTCCAAATCAAAAAGGCACACCAAAGCCCCAAAATTTTTAGACCCGAGAACAATTCATTTTTTAATAGGGATAAGTTTGGGCTTCGGCCAAATTGAAGTACTCTATAATTGAAGCTCTCTTCTGTCCTTTATAGAAGGCTATAATTTTTAAAATCAAGTCCTTCCCATGTAAAGATTAAATATTCCTACTAGATATAATAGGCATGTACGTTTCAAAGCTGATTTCTCCCGGTGTTTCTGAAATCTGAAACATCATGCGCTCAAAAAAATTCTTCCTATATTAATTAAAGTTGAAAAAACTTTGTTGTGAGCCCCCCCCCCTTTTCCAGTTCTTTGGGAATGACTTATAATTTAAATCTACCAAACCAGAAAGAATAAAATTTATATTCTAAAATAACAATATTGAATATTAATAACAAATAACCACTTTCAAAGTAATATTAATTATAAACATATGGAGTCATATAAAACGAAAGTATTAAATGGTTCAGAAAATTCCTTTAAAAAAAAGAAGTATATCTTGTTGTTTCACAATTCCTAAAGAATGTTAATACAAAATAATTCGAAATCTGACATAAAAATTCTGACAAATAAAATATTGGTAAAAAAAAATGTCCAATTGATAGTAAGAAATAAAAATCAATAATTAAAGACTATATTATTTTTATAGAAAAATATGTATAATAATTATTTCAATTTTTACAAATTCTTGAATTTTGAATTCGAGGCTCAGACTGTGCCACTAAATCTCTAGTGTAGCTATAACCTCATCTCTAGGCTAATGGCTAAAAATGGACTAATTTTATCAAATCTCTACAAACATGTGCCAAAGAAAATCTAAGTATTGATGTGCAAGTTTTTTTTATATTTGTTAGTCTGCAAAGCCAGGCTTTTTTCCCCCAGTTTAGATTTTTATTGATAGTTTAAAGGCCAAACCCAGAAATCCTTAAATTTTGTTATTAATTTTGAATGTATTTTGTAAACTGTTTAATAGGGAGATTGAAAAAATGTGCAGAATGTTAAATGCTCTATTATTTTATAATTTTTCCTAATTAATTGATATAAATTAGAAAATGGGTGTATTTTTGGTAAAATTTTTTTCCTAGATTTATATTTTGACAAATTTTTACTGATCCAGACCTGTAGATCTCTGATATTTAGAAAATAATTTTTTCTCACCACTCAACATTTATGGCATAAAAACTGAATTATTTATAACATTTAGAATGATAAATACCCTTGCAAAGAAGTAGGAAATTCCCCACCCCATCAGAAATTTGCCTGTTCTTGTAAATATCATTTTAAACTAATAAAAACTTTCTCTTTACACCCCCCCCCCCCAATATATACAATATATAATTGAATAATTTGAAAAAGAAACAAGTAAAAGTTGTTAATTTTTTATATCTATAATTCAAAATTTGTGGAAAAAAGCATTATATAAAAAAAAAAGTGAAAATGAAAAATTATTTTTTATAAAAATATAACATAGCCAATGGTCTATAATAAGTGGACTAAAGACACCCAATAAAATCCATCGTTTATAGTGCTTTCCCCTATAGGAAAATTCTGGATATGTGTGCTGAAACCTATTTTTTTTACATCTCTCACCCAACCTAATAAAAAAAATATATAACCTTCTTTTGTTTGACCTATCTGATATTTTAAAAACATATTGGGAAAGAGATAAAATTATATTTTTCTTGATAAGAATATTTATAATTAAAAAATTGTAAAAAAAATGTCAAGGTCCAGCACCAGCCTGAAATTAAGATTGAGCAGAGTGATATCTCTACAATTTGGATTGAACAGTTCTATGGAGGGTTTAAGTATATTAAAAATAATTAATGGCATATATAATATATTACTTGAGAAAATTCATAATTGAAATATCGATCAAAAAACATTTGGTAGATTTTTCATATATATTATATAATTTTAATTTTATGACTTATTAAAACATCAAGTATAAATTAAAATTTTTATTAAAAATTAATATATATAAAATTAAAATGTCTATAAAAAAAACAACTTAAAATAAGATTGTATTATTTATTACTTTGTATAATTTTTTAATATATAAATTAGAAGCAAATAAATATCCTTAATTTAAATCCTGTATTCTTTTATCTTAACCTTGATTGATGTTTAAACATTTGAAACATAATTTAAATATACATTATGCTTAAATAATGCAAGGGAGCAATATCATTTAACTAGTTAGTGAACAACTTATATTATTTAAATAAATTAAGAATTACCTCTTTAATTTGATATTCTAATTCTGTAGCACGTGTTACAATGGGGCCTCTCACTGCATATTCCATCAGTTTTACTGAAGGGTTTATATTGTCTATATTTAACAGGTGTTTACTTCTGGCAATAGATGTTGATAATGAAAGGTTATTGGAACAATTTCCATTTTTAGAATTGATAATGGAGTTGGATTTTCTTGGTGAGTGCTGAATTGAAGTAGTTGACATTTCTTTAAAATCCCCTTTTGTGATTTGAGGTAAATCCATGTTAATAGGAATTATATTATGGTTATGAGAATAGGATAAGGAAAGATGAGTTTTATATAAGGAATAATAGTTTTTGTTTAGACTAAATAAATTTTTATAATTGCTATATTTAAGTATATAATGGTTGTTCATAGAAATTTTGAAGATATATATGAAAAAATTATCAATAAATTTATCAAATATTAAGGGAATATTTTATATATATATATATTTAAAAAATAAGAATTAAAGGTATATTCATGACATAAAATACCCCAAAATGTATAACACAGCTTAGAAAAAAAAGTTGAATGATTGTTCATATCTAAATGAAGGGCATAAATTTGGAAAAAATCAAATTTGAATCATGTGAGGATTGAAGCCAAAAATTCATTCATTCTCATTGAAGAAACGTGATCACATACCGGGAATAATATTTTTACTAATATATAGATTCCATACATGATGTCTACCCAGCTTCTATATAGCAGGATTTTCACTGGATGTAAACTTTCTCAAAAACCTATGCCTACCCTTCTAAAAAAATTTCGCCGCATTTGTCAATGATATTTACACATTATTAATTTCGCCATTTAATTATAATGGTACTCCTTTCATAAATTTTAACAAGAATAACTTAACTTATTTTAGCTCTACTACCAACGATCAAAATATTGTGAATACAAAGAGTTATTTTTAGATAATGAATTCAATTAGAAACCCCCTCATATATAATGAATGCATTATTATAGTATATTATTAAGCATGAATATGAGTTTGCTGAGAATGTATAACCCTTCTAAATTACATAAAAGGATAAAGAAAGTTTTATTTGGAAAATAATGTCTATGATTATGATTGTATGAAATATATAGATTTTGTTTATGATAAGCAATATCATTGTATTACAATAGGTCTATAATAAATGTATTCTTTTTACAGATATATATTTTGCCCTACTTTATTTAAAAACATAATAGATAACCCCCCAATAAATTTAACCTATCCTCTTAAAGATGTCTACCTCCAACCCCCCTCAAAAAAATGGATGCAAACTGTTCCTACATCCCTCTCCCCCCGTTTCATGTAGACGCTGGATATGGGAAAGGATTTAAACGCTGTTACTGCAAACGAAATTGTACCGAATGGATGCAAATTCTAAGGCATCTAATATGTAGTGCAATTCTCATTGCATACTAAATAAAGTGTCAAAATAAATGATTATTATATTAAATTATATTTAAAATAAAAAATTGTAAATTAATTCCAGTGTCTATTTTTTTAGCTATAAGTTTTTTCTTTCAAGATCTTATATTCCTACTACCAAACTTTCTGTTAATAAATTTAGCCTTAAAATTAAGTAATTTATCTTCTAACGTAAAATTTTTTTTATTTCAATTTCCAATATCCCGTTTCCTTTTTTCCCTTCTCCACCCTCTTCTTTCTCCCCTCCCCCCTTTTCATTTCGTGTCTTCCTTTATCTTATCCATTACCTTCCATTTTCTTTCATTTTCCCTTTTCTTTCCGTTTTTCTTTCGCTTTTCCTTTATCTTCCTTTTTTTCCTTTCCATATTTTCCTTTTTCTTTCCCTAACTTTCCCTTTTTATTTTTCTATTAATCTTTCCCTTTTTATTTCTTTTATCTTCCCCTTTCTCTTTATTTCATTTCCCTCCTCCCTCTTTTCTTTTTAATTTCCTTTTTCTCTCTCTTTACCTTCCTTTCCCTTTTAATTTCCCTATTTCCTTTTCATTTTATTTCCCTTCCCCAGACTACACTCCCTCCGGCTGAAGGCTGGGCTAATATCAAAAAATAAAAATAATATCATTCCATTCTAAATTCAACTTATATTCAAGCAAATTCAATTCTAATGGGTCATATGTAGTAAAACCTAATAAAATCTACCAACAATGTAATAAGTTAGTCATCTACATATACTAAAAATGCTTATACTTTCTTATATTTTTATTTTAGCTTCTGATGATATGATGATATTCCAACTATTTCTAGAGAGTTGAACCTAATATTGACTCCTCTTCAGGTTCAATGCATTAATATTTTTTAAATTATTCTTTTGTTTTAATTTTAGATAACCAGCCCTGTCTTAACATATCTTAGTGATTGTACAGATGCTGATTTATCCGTCATTAATAATAGAAAAGATGGCAGGTAAGGTTTAACGTATTAATATCTTTTAAATTTTCTTTTGCTTTTATTTTAGAAAACTGCCCGCCATTAATAAACAAATACATAATAAACCTTAGAAGAACATGATAGGCTTGATAAACCCCCAATTAGACAAAATATTTTTTTGATGATAGCCTCCCAACTACTAGAGATATGCATTATTGACCCATCTACAGGTTTAGTACAGTATTTTAATGCTCGTTTAATTTCAATAATAATGTATATTTCTATTTTTGCTTGATTTCTTTATTTTTCTAGTATAACCCAACCTTAATCCCTCACATTGCTACAAAACATGATGAATTTATTATTAAAGATAAGCTAAGAAAAAAATAGCCACTCAACAAACGCTCTACCCGTTCTAGAGTTACTGATAGCCAATACGGAGCTGAGCCTGATATTAACTCCCTTGCAGGTTTATTTTGTTTATTTATTTAATTTTTTATATCTATTTTTATATTCACCCAGTTGCCCACAAATGATATTTCTATCACCACTACCACAATTCCTATGCCGCTTCAACCATGCATATTTCAACATATATTTGATGACCACCACTAACATATGTTAGATATCGGAAACATACCAGAAATATGCGCCTTCTGCAATGCTAAAATGTCGAATGGTAAAAATTACAGAAAAGCTCAAATAAAAAAATTCAATTTTCTACATGTTGCATGAATGGGAATCTAAATTTTCCCCTTCTCCTCCAAATTTAATACGTTTATTTAACAGGGAGCATTGTTTATCAGCCTACTTTTAACAAATATAAAAGCATTTAATTCTGCACTATCATTCACTTTACTAGGAGTTAATATAAATAATACTTTATCCAATTCTCGCTTCCATAATTATTCATGTTAAATTAAGTGACAGGTTCACCATCGCATTAGTTCCCTCCTGCCAACATTAAGGGTCACACCTAAATTTGCCCAAATATATTTAAATATATGATAGTAAAAATGAGATACAAAAAAGACATAATCAAGTTCATTTTTTGGATCGTCATCTTTTAATAGAATTGCAGTAAATTATTGGTAGTTATTACCCCTTTACTTCTCAATTTATGAGAGTAGCTTCGATGATCACTAATGACTTTCCTAACATATTATTAAACCTAAAATCTACACCAAGCTTTCATATACGTTATCGCAATAATCGTACCTCATCAGAAATAGCGGTATTATTACCTAGTGATGGCAGTGATCATATAGCCCATAGAGATATTAACCTAAAAATATAGCTGGTACTATAAGATGTATTAACGAGCTCTACTCTCCCATAGGCGATATTGGATACCACCCATTTATTCATCATAGAAACTCAAATAATAAATATATTACCTACAGAGAATACTATGCCTATCGCTTTATGGTTAGGTAGGATGATGAAAATATTATTTTAAGATTGCACCACTTTATCATGAAGAGTTATGTCAAACAAGAAACGCTTCGATTAAATTTTTTAGGTAATAATCAGTCCAAATTACGCGCAGAAATCTATCAAGGCATTCATGATGCTATTTTAGTGGGGGGATACCAATGCTGACACTTTTAGCAAAAGAATCATCTTGCGTTCTTCTTTTAACAGTGCCATAGCATATGCATCAGCTTTATCGGGAAAAGGATATTGTATGCTGCTTTGGTAAGCCATAATTATTCATTACTTTCACCTGAAATCCTAAATGGGATAAAAATATGCACGAATTATTTTTTTATCAAACTCCAAACGACAGATTTAATTTGCTTTTTTCATCATAAATTAAAATGTCATAAAGGATTTGCTTTAAATTTTACTAGTCTCCTGTATGCAGCACACATCTATATACCTTCTATGCAGTACATCGACCACTTTTCCCGCTCTTCCCGTCATATTTCCAACATTCTATGTCGCGACCCTAACTCGATCCCCCGTAAACTGGTTTATCCACTTATTATCAGGTCGTTTATGGCCATCTTAAGTTTCATTTTCATGAATTATCCCATCCTCTTTTTGTCGTAGGCGGATGAGAAGGCCCACGGGGTACTTTGGCCTTTACCCCGCCCACGCTTTTGTAACAATAGGGAAATTTTGTAGCAAGGTTTTTACAATAGGATGCTCTTTCTGACATTAATCTCTTTAAGGGGTTTTTACACCCCGTCGAGGAGGCGGTGATCTTATTCTAGACCCAGATCACAGGGAACCTTTTAGACCTCCATTAGCCGCCAAAAGACGTTGCCACTCTCCTGCCACGATGAGGCTTAAGGTAGGATTTTGGGAGAGATAATAAATAATGTATAATATAAGTGTTAAATTAGTTGTAAGATTAAATGTTATTAAAATATTTATAAGTGAATTTATTTGATATGAATGTGTTATTAAATAAGTTTTTTTGTTAAAAAAAATATATAATATATATATATATGTACATGTATATTAGGTAACCTCTGGTGTATAAAAAAAAAGAAATGCTTGACTAAGATTATTTGATTGGTCATTAATGTTCTAAATAAGTGATCAAATGGGTTTTGTTGGTTAATATGTTATGGGATTATCTTTGGTCTGTTGTTTTTTACTTAAAGAATAGGAAGTCCTCATAAATTTTCAAATATTTGCCAATGTTGATACTCTAAAAGATATGAGGAAATATTGAAAGATGCAAAATTTTTGATAACTAGGTAGTTTAATTTGAACATTTGATTATTGAATTATTTAGTTTATGATATAAACTGCATTATAGATTTTGCCGTTTATGATAGCTAATAAATCTGTTTATTTCTTACAGATTTGTATTTTATGGACTATATAGGGTGATTCATGGCCTTTAAATTTTATTGCCATATTTAAAACTGTTCTTCAATTTATAAAAATACATTAAGATATTATCTTAATGATGCTTAAATACCTATATATCTTAAGACTAACAACTAGAAGGTGGGCCATTCCACGTCAAATCTATCACGATTCGGCCGGCCCCTTATAAAATTGTTAAAAATTTCTGGATTTATTTAAATAGTTAAGAAAATGAGAAAGCCGTTTATTTTACCTAGCCAGCACACCTGGTTCCCGAGATATAGCGACTCAAAGATCCAAAAAAGAGCCACTTTGGAATCTGTAAAATTTTTAAAATGCTTATATCTCAAAACCTATTTATAGTAAAATATATATAATATATCAAATTGTAGGTAAAAAAATCTCTAAAGAGCTATCAAAATATAATAAAAATTAGAGCTAATTTGAGCCGTTAACTTCCGGTTTAAATATTTTGCTTTACCTTGCTTTTAAGCAAAAAAGGGAGTTTGTTTTCGAAATTTTTTTATTACTTTTTATTTAGACACCTTTGTTAAATATATATACGATATCAAAACCTTGGCGACGCTATCAACTCCAAAAATTGAAGAAAAAAAAAAGATGGCGCTTTATGAAATTACGGATTATCGTTAAAATTTTGCTGCTCACTTATCAATAAACCTGATATTTTCACTTTTTATACTAAAAAATTTGAATTTCTATTAAATATACTAATTAAACTGAAGAGCAGAGTGGGCATATGCCCATTAGACACTTATGATGTAACAAATTACCAATAATAAATATCATTCATATAATTTTTTTAATTTTTAAGGTATCTAGAATTTCATTGAATCTCATATTTTAATGAAGATAATGGTATAATTTTAGTTGTTAAAACTTTTTTTTACTTTAGATATTTTTTTCTTCGAATATTTCTTTTCACATATTTTCTTTTAATGAGAGATTCCCTATTTGATTGTAGGGATATATTAATGTTATCAATAGCCTCTTGATTAATTATATGAGGGAGAGAATATCAATACTACATTGTCATTTGAAGTATAAGGAATGTTTGCTAATTTTTGTCGGCACGAAGAGCATATTAACTTATCTAAATTGAATGGTAAATTTTTTTGGGTCATCCAGGGTAGAATCTTTCTTAGATTCTCGCGATAATAAGCATGTCTTTGTAGATCAAATGAGTTGCAGCATTTTAATATTTGGTACGTCCATCTGTGATATAGAATAAAATTTTAATTGATCTGCACCTAGAATATATGTTTTTGCACTCTCCAAATCCAGAATGTTATTAGATGGGTTGAATTATTTAAAATTAATCTGAATAGATAAGTTAAAAATATTACGCAGAAAGAGAGATCGTTTTAAACAGTTTATTTTGTAAAATATTATCGATAATATGCCTAATCATTTTTACTGCAGCTGTTATACATTATCGAGCTAATAAGTCATTCGCTATATTAGCAAAGTAGAGATCTAAAAAATGTAGAACATTTTAAGGACGTTGGGAAGGGGGGGGCAGAACTGAAGATTTTTATCACATTTCTTATAAACGTATCAATATTTTCATTTTCTTTAAGAATAGTATTTTTCAACCATTATCGACATCTACTTTTTTCTTCAATTTTTGGTAAAAAATGTATATTTCGAAAAGTCAATAGCGTCACGAATGTTTTGACATTGTTTATATATTTATAAAAGGTATCTAAATATAAAGCAAAAAAAAATCGAAAAACTCCCCTTTTTGCTTAAAAATACAGGGGAAGCATGATAGGTAAACCGGAAGTTAAAGACTCAAATTGGCGGCAATTTTTATTATTTATTTGATAGCTATTTAGAGATTTTTTTATCTAAAATATGATATATTATACATTTTTTTTTACTATAAATAGTTTTTGAGATATAAGCATTTTAAAAATTTTACAAATTCCAAAGTGACTCTTTTTTGCACTTTTAAACCCCTATATCTCGGGAACCAGGTGTGCTAGCGAGCTAAAATAAACGACTTTCTCATTTATATACCTATCTAAATAATTCCAAAAATTTTTAACAATTTTAAAAGGGGTCGGCCATAATGTTGCTCTCTTGATCGATTTGACATGGAATGGCCCATATCTGCTTGATTTAATTATCTTTTTCGTCTTCATCGATGTTTCTGATAGTGAATTTTTTAAATATAATATTAAGGTTTTTTTTATAATTAATATATAACTTTTTAGATCCTGCAAGGGATCGAAATTATTTTTAAATCAGCCCGCTGACCACAATTTTGCAAAAAAAAATAGTCCGGTTCTATTTTTTAATTTTTCAGACCTGATCAATTTAAAAATTTTACGATCCAGACTGTATGTTAATTTTCAAAAATATATTGACCCTAGTTTTTAATTTGTTTATATCCAAATTTCTTACATTCGGAGGAATAATTTAAATCCAGTTTCTTTCCAAAACTCAATCAACTTGAAATAAAAAAATTTGATTAATTATTTAGCCAAATTTTTTAAAGCAAAATTTTTTTGCAAATTTATAATTAGTGAATTAAAATAGTTCTATTTGAGGCGATTTTTAAAAAACGACTAACTCAATATTTTCGCCAAAAAAATAATGTTTAAGCTTAGAGATTTCTTTATCTTTGTTTCTTCTATCAGGTTTGCGTAATATTTTTCTGAAACTGAGTAAAAACTATTTCTCTTTTAATATTGTCCCCTTAATTTTTAAAACATTTAAAGACATAACAAATTTGGATCTTATCAACAAATAATCATCTTAGAAATTTCCACTTTATTAATTATATATTTTCCTTTTTAATAATAGATATCATTTTTTTTCCATAAGATCTTTATTTTAAATTTTTTCTCTAGCTAATTAAAAATTTAGTAAAAAAAAATCAGTAGGCGAGGTCCTGCCTTTTTTGTTTCCGGCCCCATCAAGACATAAAAATATTTATATACGAACTGCCAGGCTCCTCGTTAAATTTTTTTCCATGCCCAACTCGTCATATTCTTTTCAAATATTTACCAACCCGCAGGCTGGGCTTTCTAGCGAATCGAGCTGGGCTTTAAAGATCTCATTACTATATTATTACTTTCTTCTATTTTTTTTTCTTTATTACTTTATGTTTTTTTGTTCTTATGAAATAATAATTTCATTCTTTAAGTATTTGTAAAAAAATAATTAAAAGGAAATGATAAATTACTATGCTTGTATTAGCAAATTTTTTTAGAAATAAAATAAAAAATAAAAAAATTAACTATAATATATATCGTATATTTTGTATATAATTTATTACTAATTAAAAAAAAATCCAGACAAACTTCATAACAAAAACATGAGATAAAAATTAAATTAAATTTTTTTTTATTATATCAAGATGTGTAAT